CAATATTTGATTGGGTTGGTATATTTTGCCTGGAGTGCGTGTAGAGCACACTGCAGACGTTAAATTGTCTGATGCGCCATCAATGCCTTGTCAGTCGTGGGTACATCACAGAATAGGATTGCATTTTCGGTGCCTATATTCACACACACACACACAGGTCTATACGTGTCTACATATACTGTATGTATACACATTAGAAATATATAACTAACGCTTACAAGTGAGTGATAAACATCAAAGAAGCGTTGTGGGCAAAAGACAAATACTCTTATTTGCCAAACATCCATTTAAGCTTCAGAAACATGGAACTCGTTTAATTGAAACAAACAATCGCTTGACAATATTATTGAAATGATTACCTTTGTATATATTTTAGAAAGTTTGGGGGGAACAGAAGCTTTTGCAACGGGAGGATTTGCACCAATTTCTGAAAGAATATTTTCTGAATCCTGAACAATGCATTTATTTGTTCTTGACTTAAGAACATCTGTTTATTGTTTAATCCCGATCTATTTTTTTTCATTTGCCAAACAGAAAATGTTGGTATGACAGAATGCTTCATATTAAGGTTCCTTTCTAAGCAAATTATTTATTGATAAGTATTGTTCAAGTTTCAAATCTATACGTTTTGCTCGCCACGCCATTCTCTCAAACGTTGACAAAGACTGAGCGTGTTACAGGCATTTATCTGTAAAATTACAAAGGAAACAGGAGCATTTAAGACAGCTGCAAAAGTTTGCACTTGTTTAATGTTTACTGAACCTTTCGTAAGGCATCTAAAATAAATCAAGTGTATTTAAGTGAATGCCTTCGCCCCAGTTTATTTGATGCTATTGTTACACGAGATGTGGAAATAAGTTGAAAACAAATGGGTTCCTCCACACTTTGCACCCTGCAAAGTTTCATATATTCAATATCCGATCAAGTGCTTTGGATTTAGAAGGCAGTTGGAAATAATATAAACCATAAATAATATCTGCGTAATTGCAATAGCAATTGGGGTGGGGGTGGGGGTGAACATGTCGATTTTCTCTGAAGTTTCACCAGTGTCCCGTAAACAGCCGGAAATCTAAGTAAGCAGGTTACTGAGGGGATGTAAACAATACCAGACCTTATCCATATATCTTTCCATTATTTTTTAAGTGAAATAATATAAACCATAATATACTTTAAAATGCTATCTTAACTAAAACTTGAATTGCCCAGTTATACAAAAAAACCTAAGTATTCCTAGTCGACACAAACATCTCCTCGTTTTATGTTTACGTTATAACTTAATTACATGGGAGACATTAATATATAGGTTGGGGTGTCACCACTCCATGTTAAATATATGCACCAGTTATGCAGTATTACAAAAATACAGGAATTATTTTCGGGATCGTGCGTAACCTTGGAATAGATAGCAAACTTATTTTTGAATAAAGAATATATATGCATATTGCAATGGATGTGGATCGGATTAACCATGCACTAATTTCGACATTTTCCGTTGATGGGAGTCCAATTAAAACTAAACCAAATTCGTGTGGTCGACTTGGCAAGAAAGTGCCCCTTTAAAAGTGTGGGGGTTTTCAACAGGATCTGGTGGGATACAATGTACTTTTTGTAACAGAAGTGCTTACAGAGGCAGGTGAAGTTCGAGTTAAAAGGTCATGACACTGATTGACAGTTTTTGCTCTGGGTTTTATGCCATTTTAACCACACTGAGATAGGCGATCTTTAGCACTGAAAACTGGTTAAAAAAAATACAAATCATTTTCCAGTAATTTTCCCCCAGCGAAAAATCGAATCATTGAGTCTAAAATAGGAAATACATCTTTTGACAAGATCTGTAGTCCAAGTGAACTCTGTGTTTTCTCTCTCCCTCTCTCTCTCTCTCTCTTCCCCCATGTCCGGCCAGTCTACTTGTTTGAATTAGGGTCTTTTATTCTTCTGTTTGGATATATGGTATAATGTGACCACTGTTCTCTCTTTTATTTCTCTCTCTATGGTAACCAAGATCATCGGCGCAAAAATGTGTCTATGAATAAGGAAATCAGCATAAAAGGGCGTCTGAGAGCCGCATCTGTTACACTTGGAAAGTTAGCGCCTGTTAGTCTAACATGAAAGAGCCAAGGAAAATTACTCCATCAGCCCTGTCCATGGTCTGGGCCTTTCTAAAACAGCACAGATAACGTGACAAATTGAACTAATACAACCAACCGTAAATCCAGTTTCTACAATTGTTGTGGTCTTATACCCTCACCGCCATATTTCATAAAGAAATAGTATAACTAGGAATTGGGAAAGATCGGCAGGTCAAACATTCCGAGTTATTATATATATATATATATATATATATATATATATTTAAAAATCCAAAACCACTTTGCACGATGTTTAAGCAACATTTGTTTGACGTCAGATGTTTCTCTCGCTGTTGGGTTTGAAAGGAAATCGTTTGCTGGATTACAAATAGCGTCACTGCAAACCACAAGTTCGGTAGCAGCTTAATATATTGGATCAATCACTTTTAGAACTGCTTTTTGTTTTAAAAAAAAGCCGAGAAGGAATTTAAGAATTGGAGACGGTTTTTCCTTTGTCTTGACCTTGAAGGTGACAGGATTGCTGAATGCCTGGTGCGCTCTCTTGAACTAGTATACATTTCTCACCACTGCCCGCACAGCAACAAAACAAAACCAGCAAAACATGTCCCAGTATCGTGCAAGCCTGAGCCCCATCAGAAAAAAAAGTTGGTCTACTTTTTCGGAACAAGATAAGCACCAGCGAAACACACAACCTTCGACTGTGGAGCTGCTCTTTTCACTCGTTCACTGCAGAAATAGGCATCACAGAGTGAGTGAGAGCAGACTGCGTTTTACACTTTAACCTGGAGCTTTCCGCTGCACATTAGGGCACTAATTATAACCCACCGCCAGTTCTCAATGGGTGTTATCTCACCGTCAACGTTGCGCTCGAAATCATTGCAAATAATTCTCGCCAACAAGAGCTGGTAACAATGCGTGCCAATTTCTGAAGCCCCCTTTTTTTTACACATCGCCTGCCAAAGCATAACAACAAGTGCAATTTTTTTCCCCCCTCTCTCTCTCTCTTTCTCTCACTCTCTCTCTCTCTCTCTCTCTCAAGTAAGTCTGTGTGCATCGCACTCGACGGAAAACACTGCAATCACCAACCCCTCGTGCAATCTTCTCAACTCTCACAACAACAACATGCAGAAAGCATTGCAACACCCTCTCTCTGCCCGTCCGCATGCCCGATTGCGGCCTATTTCTATTCCAGCACGAGAAAGGTATCGATGAACTGAAAGATTGCCCACCTATCATCCATCCATCCAGCTGTCGTGCCTTCGAAATTTGTGCATCAGCTAAAATTTAAGAGAACTGCACGGCTGCAGTGGCTTGTGGAGACTGCCGGCGTTCCTTTATTTTGCCTAAATATATGAAAATGTATGCAAATTTAAATCAATCTTAACCTCGGATCTCTCATTGTATTTAATAGAATTTCAAACCAATAGGTGAACTCCGGAGCAGTTATTGTAATGTCAAATGTAATTATTCCGCGTACCTGCCTACGTTCCTCAAAATCTATATAAAAACTAATCATTTTCCATGAGACATCCAAAAGGAGTGAGAGACACAACGAACGCGGCGGAGACTGGGTGCAACAGTACTGATATTAACGGGTCACAATCCCATCCCATCCCGTTCTGCATAAAATACTTTCTGCCTTTGAAAAGACTTTTTTTTTTTGGGGGGGTGGGGGGGGGGGGGGGGTGTTGTTTATACGTGATATCAGACCGTCTCGTCACACGCGGTCGGTCGCTCGTACCCGATTGACTGCGTGGATAATATTTCCACGTCGGTGCTTTTGCACTGACTCACGTCGCGCCCGTGTTATTCTGTGGCACAACACACGTTATGAAACTTTCTCGGGTCACGCGTCACGCTTCACATTCTCAGCAAAGCAGTTCGGTTTGGCTGGAAATATATTTCCTGCTGTTGTGTGTTTAAATCTGCAGAAATAAGAGCAATTGGGCTTCAGGGGAGAGCAAACCACTCACTGAGAACGATATTGTCCCACTCACTATTCCAGATCCAAGTTGTACAAATAACTTTCCCCCCACAGCAACGAACGAACAGAGCCGTGAGTTATGACGCCACCGGTTTAGTCGAATGCTAAAGTTGTCGTTTATTGCCTCAAAAACAACCGTCGACTTTTTTTTCAACCCCCCCCTCCCTCCCCCCCCCCAAAAAAAAAACAACAACACACAAACCCAACGGGAAAAGAATCGCCGCTTTTTTGGGGTTTCTGTGGGGTTTTTGTTTCGGTCCCTGTCAGCCGAGTGCTTTCTTATCGATAGCAATGCTGCGGTACAGAATTCTGACATCTACCAATAGACATATAAATATATATACATATATATATAAAACAAAAAAATCCCAAACGAACGAGAAACTAAGCAGTCTGTTACACGAAGAGTTAAGGATGGGGTGGGGGGGGGGGGGGGAGGGGGGGGGACCGGGATGGGAGAGGGAGATGTGGGAGTGAGAGTGTGTGGTTGGGATGGGGGGGGGGGGGGGGGTGGGGGGGGGGTAGTGGGGGGGGGGGGGGGATTGGCTGTCAGTTACCCAGCAGGTAGCCAATGGGCTCCAGCGCCCTGATGGACTTCCTCGTTGGGGGCTACAGTGGCGATTTGTACTTGCAACACAACCAGATTTGGGGGGTGGAGGGGGGGTGGAGCGGAGTGGGGGGGGGGTGTGGGGTGGGGGTGGGTGGCGGTGGGGTTCCGCCCCCGGTCTCTGCTGATAGGTCAGACGCGTCAACGCGCTCGGGCTCTGGAAACCCCTGGCAAACCTGGGCGTCTCCAGCTATTGGCTCCCGGAGCTGCCAATCAATGATCTCGCCGGTGACCCCACCCACCCATTCCCCCCCCCCCCTCCCCTCCCCAACCCCCACACCCCCCCTCCTCCCTTTACCTCAGCTTTGTTGTCAAAGGCTGGAGCTCTTCCCTTCGGCAGGTTATTATTACTGAGGGACTCCATCGAGCAATGGCCACCGCTGCCTCCAATCTCTACATGCCGAGCAGCAGCATCCTCACCTCCAGCTCTTTGGTGCACACGGACACGTCGGGCATGCAGCAAGCGGGCACTTTCCGGAGCCCTCAGAAACTGCTCCAAAGTGATTACCTCCAGGGACTTCCCAGCAACGGGCACCCCCTTTCTCATCAGTGGGTGACGGCTCTACCTGAAGGCAACCCTTGGTCCACAGCGTTGGCCGCCAGTCCCTTGAGTCAGCAAGACGTGAAGCCTTCGCTGCAGCCCGGGAGAGAGGACCTCCACGTTGGGTCCAGTCTCCATCACCGCTCGCCTCACATCAGCCACCATTCGCCGCACACGAACCACCCCAGCGCCTGGGCCACCAACACAGCTCACAGCTCGCCCCTCACCTCGGGCGGCCAGCCCCTGAATCTCTACTCGCAGCCGGCGTTTACGGTCAATGGCATGCTGGACCATGGAGGCCCACCACCGCCTCCATCGTCGGCAGCCAGTCAGAGCATGCACCCGGGGTTAAGGGACAACACGGACCACGGAGATCTCGGGCACCATCACTGTCACGACCACTCGGACGAGGAGACTCCGACATCAGACGAATTGGAACAGTTTGCAAAGCAATTCAAGCAGAGGCGCATCAAGCTGGGCTTCACCCAGGCTGACGTGGGACTGGCGCTGGGCACTCTGTACGGAAACGTGTTCTCCCAGACAACTATCTGCAGGTTCGAGGCGCTGCAGCTGAGCTTTAAGAACATGTGTAAACTGAAACCGTTGTTGAATAAGTGGCTGGAGGAAGCGGACTCGTCCACAGGAAGCCCGACCAGCATCGACAAAATAGCGGCACAGGGCAGGAAGAGAAAGAAGCGCACTTCCATAGAGGTGAGTGTCAAAGGTGCTCTAGAGACACATTTTCTCAAATGCCCCAAACCGGCAGCTCAAGAGATCTCCGGCCTGGCTGACAGTTTGCAGTTAGAGAAAGAAGTTGTTCGAGTCTGGTTTTGTAACAGAAGACAGAAGGAGAAGCGGATGACACCGCCTGGATTGCACCAGCAGGATGAAGTCTTTTCCCACAGCGTTGATTCAGACACACCTACACACCACGATCTTTAACCAGGACAGTGGGGGGACACACGCTCTCACTGGAACTTGCTTGGAACTGGACGAGGAAGAACGGAATGGAAGCTCTTTTTTTTTAAATTATATATTTGGCTGTCCGGAAGAGGAGAGAGATGCAGAGAGAGAGAGAGAGAGAAAAAAGTTGTATATCGAAAAAAGAAGTCTGCAAAGCAGGCGATATTTCTAAATATGTACAGTTAACAGTCGTGTTGACATTATTGTACCACGTTTGTGGTGAAGAAGCGTAATTGAGGACAATGTTTACCACAACTGTGGTTATTGTTTTGTTCAGACAAGGATTGCAGTCCGACAGTGTGCCTAACACCTATCAGCGCCTTGGTTATCTCGGCTATTATCAGGTGAATTTGTTCCTATGGACAGCATTACCTTTTCCCCCCCCCCACAACTTTATTTTAATAACTGGTTTTAAACAAGATCTGTTATGAAAGCGTGCAGTATTATTATGTAATGAAGTGGTCTATAGTCATGCATAGGGAAGGGGTGGCCCAAACTTACTCTATACTCCGATAAACCTTCAAAATCGAAATACTTCGCAGCTTATTTCCAAATTACACCTCAAAGCAACTCGTGGACATTGAAAGGACTAGGATGTCGCTCGCCCTGTTTTTTTTTATTTTAAAGGGAATTCTATGGAATCAAAGCAATTGTAAACATAACACTGCCGTTGAAAACGCTGGTAAGAAAAAGAATTCCGGCGAATTCGAGCAAATTTATTAACTTGAACAGTCACTGAATTTACCAGAGGGGTTTGAAATCGACGCTTGAAAACCTGCCATTTTTAGAGAGAGACACAACTTTTAAAATTTAAAGATAGGTCAGTTGCTGATCTGAAAAAAATATACGATATTTTCTTTAACTGTTTCTTTTTTCAACAATTATATTTGGATTACTTATGAAAGCTGCGATCAGTAATTTATTTTCCTCAAATTTTGTATTATGTTTTTAAAGAAAGAACCATGCGTTTAAACCAGTAAAAAAAAATGTATGTTGGTTAATAAATTATATATTTGATGTCAGATTTGATTGTAACCCAATTTAAGTTTGTGATTTGGTGATAACAATTTCATTTGGTGTACAAAAAAAAATCAAATCTGTTCAAATAAATTTGTTATTAAAACCATACTGTGTTCGAGTTGTATCTAACAGCTAAAGAGAAACGATTAAGGCATGGATTTTTAAACTTACAAGAACTTATTTTTCTGACAATTAATTTACAAAGAGAGACAAAAATGAAATTACATTGAAATGCGTCTTACAATCTTACAGGAATCGTGGTTAGCTTAATGAAAACCATAGCAATGTTATTGTTAGCAACCGAGATGCTAAGGATGCGGGGTAAATTCACGAATCATGAGGTCAAATGAATAATCATATCAAAAATACGACAGTCTATAGTAAAGCTTCCTTATTTTATTGCCAATGTAGCCTGAAGTCAAGGTGATTCGGTGTACATTTAGCCAGTGTTACATTCGCTTGTCTCCTCTGTAGTCGCAAACAATCAGATGGGAATCGGTTATTCAGCTAATTATTTACTTAATGTGATTTTATTTTAGTCATATAATGTCAGTCTTTCGAATTACAGTATGGGGATGGCTGCTGTAGATTGTGTGTGTGTGTGTGTGTGTGACTGTGTGCATATATATCACATATGGCCTTCATTTTAATTCAGTGAAATGGCACTTCCTTGTGCTGTTGTCATACTTGTCAACATTAGGAATCCTAGTTTGTTCCAGCCTGCACCACAGCCATTCCCAGTCCACGCCGGACACACTTCATAAATATTATTAATCACAAATCATCCTTTCTATCCCCCCCCCCCCCCCCCCCCCCTCCACACACACACACTTTAACCACTGATATTTGAATTGGCGCGTACCTTCCGCCTTATAGATTGTTTTGTTTTACATCCACTAAAATCGCTTCGAAAAATAAATATTCTTAATTACCTTCCATCAAAACCGGTTTAATCTCCCTTTGCATAATTAAGGTGGCGGTTTCTGCTCAAATGGTTTATTTCAGGCATTGGCGGTGAAGGCAGATTGTTGTGAAAAGAAACGTGATTTTCTTTAAACGCCATTAATAATACAATCGTTTATTCCGAAATATAACATAATGCAATACTCAACGCTTAGAAAACCTTCCACACCCGAGAGTGATGAACAATATATTTCCAAAAGAGGTGCTGAAAAAGGTTTTACTATAGCAACGCGCCTGGTAAGGTCGTTGGTGTGGGGCAGGATACTATCTCAACGTGGACTGAAATTTATCCTGTCCCTGTAGCATTGCGGTTAATGCGTATTTAACAGGTTTATTGTGTTTCGTTTTATTCAGAAGTGAAGGACCAACATTTTTCACACGTTCAATCGTGGCGAGTATTCATTCACAAGGCGCTGGGGATGTGCTGTGATTGTAAACAGTGAGTGAGTCCTTGTTGTGTATAGTTCGTTCTCCCTTATCGTAAAGATCTGCACGGACTTTTCAATGTATAGATATATATATATGTGTGTGTGTGTATATATATATATATTGCATTTTACACGGTGAACGTTTACAGTGAAACGATTTCAAAGGTAATTCTCGGGATCCCCTCCCAAAGCAGTGTAAGGATCGTAGTGTAAAGGCGTCGAGTTTTATTTAGTAGCGATTAATCGTGGGTCCACAACCACGATCATAATAGCTTCCCCTCTCGCTATCTTTGAAAGTGAGTTTCAGTGCAATGCATTTGAACTCGTGTGGACACAACATGAAGTCATTGTGTGTGTGAGAGAGGGTGGGGGCGTTGGGGGGTGTGGGGGGGAGTCATGCAGTGACAACGATTATTTTTTACATTGTTGCACACTGCGGATCGATAGACGGTCGAATCCACTTATTGGGAGTCGCTCTCTTTCCCCACCGTGTGCGACAATTCGGATGATAGACCCACGTTACCCAACTCGGGGACGATGCAGGTTTTACAGGCGCTGTGAATCCCGCACCCCTCCCCTGTATACATTGTGCACAGCTGAAACCCCTGGTCGGAAATGGACCAAAAGTTTCACAGACAGGACTTGCAGCCCTGGTGTTGATAATGTGAGCAGCGCAACTGAGACCTTGGTAACCATTCGCAAACATCAAGTCGCGTATTTAATATATACAAAATCCTCGCATCATATCTGTAGCTGCGCCCGAGATATCAACCCAAAGCTGTGGCTATAACAACCCCAGTGACACATCCCGGTTTGTGCTCCTTGGATAATCGGAGTGGGTATGGATGCATCGGATTGTCCTGGTTAAAATCCAGCTTTTGTAGCTATGTGTATCTGTGTGCATAAATCAAAGTGCACATCCATCAAACTACAAGGGCAGGCTTATCGTTTTATTATAATTCACGCTGGCAGAGGAAAAAAAAACTTTGGGTATTTCAAAGTGTAGAAATGTGCGGAGCAAACAGCGACCCACCCCCCTGTTCCCAAAGCCCTTTGTGTGTTAAGTTCCGATAGGAATCTATTATTGTTGGTGGATGCCCCGCTTGAATAAGTAAGAACGGGCTGGTTTGTGTTTAAAGCCAGCAACTTGGGATAGCTTAGCCACAGGACTGTGAAGTACTGGCAGGGGTTCCCAAATGACAGAGTGACAACAATCATTAATGCCCTAATACTGTCAACTTTTCCCATAGAAATACGAAGGTAGACGTTGAACGTGTTCTGAAAGAGCAGACGCTTACACACACACACGCACACACTCACTCACACACACACTCTCACACACGCACACACTCACTCACACACTCACACTCACTCACACTCTCTCACACACACACCACACACGCACACACACTCACTCACACTCACTCACACACACACTCTCACACACACACACACTCACACACGCACACTCACACACTCACTCACACACACTCTCTCACACACTCACTCACTCATTCACACACACACACACAGACTCACACATGCTTTAAGTATCCTCATTTCACGAAATGTAAGGGTAAGCGATTGTATTGTTTTCGGATGCGAACGATGGCGAGGAGATAGATAGATAGATAGATGGCTGATAGAATGATTTATCAATTATGGGCGAGGTTTAGCATCTATCAAGTAAAGTGGCGCCTTTGAATATTTCTCTGCGTTTAATTTATCCTGAACCCTTTCTGTCTCGATTTTAAATCTTATAGAATTCTGTGAATTAAACGAATTCAGGCAAACCTTCACGAAATAATGCTTTATCTCTTATCGTGGGAATAAATCACATTGATGACAGGTTTTTTGAGCAGTACAACTCCCACCTCCCCCCCACCCCCCCAAAAAAAGGTCTCAATTTCCTTTTCACTCTCTTTCACTTGACTCTTTCTGCAGAACTCCGTTTTGAAAGGAAACCACTTAATATCATCTCATTCCCACTTCCAAAATATGCGTCGTTTCAGTTGAGAATCTTTACAGATGTGTTTGCATTCAGTAGCATATGTTTGTCTGTTTGGAAATTAGCAGGATGGTATAATTTCAGTATGAAACCGAGAGATTTCTACGGTACAAAGCAATATTTGAAGAGCGTTTCCAAAGATGACCGAAACCACTGCAAGATTTGCATCAAGGCGTTGAGCAAATTATATTGACTTCATGCTGTAAAGTTCAGCTTCAGGCACTTTGTCCACTCTGGGTGGAGAGGGCGCCTGGGGTGTGGGGCAGTAAAGTAAGAGCCTTCAGCAGCTAAATACATTTGAAAGGGAGCTCCAGCAAATAGTCTAAAATAGTAAATTACTATAATTTCACTCACTATAATGCAACCCCGTGCCAAGTCTCCTGAAACATATGATGCAGTGCTGTGTGTGTGTGTGTGTGTGTGTATAACAACTCCATCCTGTAACATTGCATTTAATTCACCACCAGGGGATGGCAGTCCTCCATTGTACAGCTTACTGTGGGATGGTGACATCACTGTGGTCTGATTGTTCTCTGTTATAGAATTTTTCCACCCAAACTTTGGCTCAAAATTAAACCAGAAATTTGCTCGAGCAAATCTACAGAGCACAAACAGTCCACAGTATTGTCACCTCACATAGGATGCATTCCAGGAAGCAGCTGTAAAGGTTTCCCTCTGGTGGAAACATAACAATAATGCAAGTGAGATTTCTCCCCTAAACACTCCGGTGTGTCACACTTGGTCAAAGATTTGTGAGTCAAATATAGTCTTGCCGTCTGGAGAACCACGTTAGCTTCTGAGAATATGTTTTTATGTTACTGCACCTGTTCAAAAACAAGAATAATCTTTAGAGCTTTAACCAAGTACTGGTAAATGCTTTTACATTTTACAACATCTTTTAATGTAAATACTGTATTAATATGTTCTTTGTTATTCTAACAGTATGCAACTTGATGATTCTTAATTCCAGTAATAAATAGATATGTTGAATATTATATTTATATTTTGATTCTACAGATTAAAATAATAGCTATATACTCAGACATTTTGTTGAGTTAGTCGATATCAAACATAGGAGCAAAACGTTTTATACAAATGTGTAAATACAGTATTTGTGAAACTGAACAAAGTTTAAACAAATCTACTGAACCAAAGTGTATCAAAAACCAATGCTTAAATGTTGTCTCTTTCAGTAATTGGTGTAGGCAAAGAAACCGTTTTCATCTCCAAAGACATGTAATTACTCAAACCCATGAAAGTTCCTCATTTACATAACATATCTTAACTTTTTCCTATACTAATTTACCAAGGGAGTGAACATATTTCTGTGTTAAAGCTGCTAAATACAGTTATTTCTTTTTTGAAATAAATAACTGTATTTACAAAATTGTTTTTATGCATTTTACTCACATTTCCCCATAGAACCCTGAAAGGCCGAACACCATAGACTATGACTGAGGTTAGGTACAGATGCTTTTTTCCATAGCCTCTGCTAAGTTCACTCTGTGACCATTGGTAGGGCTACTAAAATGTGAGCTCCATGGTTCCCT